CCGCAGCAGCTGTTCTGTACGGCTCCCTGATGATTCTGTTGTGTCGTCTCACGGCGTGCCCAGCATTTCATTCAGTGCGCCTATAGAGGATCAGTTGTCAATAGCAGTATCGGGGGATGGGCAATCATACTCTGAGGATGAAGATTCGGTGGGGCGGCCCCCTTCGGGTGGAATCGGACCCAGAGTTGACGGCCGTGCTTTCCCAGGCTGGAGGCGTGCACACCTCCAGGTCCCGAGCCCTTGCGGCGGGATGATTGGTTCCTCTGCACGGGTCGTGGCTCGTGACCACGCCCTGCCCTGGTTCCATTCTTCCCGGAGGTGCATGAGGATCTGATCTGTCGTGGACGGCCCCTTTTTTCGGCCAGAAGCCACTCGTCTGCCTCCATCCTCACTACCCTCGATGGCGGGGCAGCTAGGGGATACGTTGACATTCCCCAGACAGAGAGTGCTGTTGAGGTGCACTCGTGCCCGCAAAACGCCGCCACTTGGAGGAATTGTCCTCGCCTCCTGTCCAAAGCTGTAAGCTGACGGCCTCTCTTGCGGCTGATGCTTACAGTGCTGCGGGCCAAGCCGCCTCTGCCCTGCATGCCATGGCTATCCTGCGAGTACACCAAGCCAGGGCATTTAAATGCACAAGGGTAGTACCAAACCGAGGTTGATGCAGGAGCTGCGCTCGGCGACTGACCTCGCCCGACGGGTGGTGGAAGTCACAGCGCGGTCCCTCGGGAAGGGGATGTCCACACTTGTGGCCCAAGAGCGCTATCTATGGCTCAGCCTTGCTGAGACGAGCGATATCGACAAAGTGCGCTTTCTCAATGCTCCCGTCTCCCAGGCTGGTCTGTTCGGCGACGCCGTCGAGGACTGTGCCCAGCAATTCTCAACAGTACAGAAGCAGACCTAGGCCATCCAACACATCTTGCCCCGGCGTGATGCACCATCTGCCACCGCTCTGCCGTGGGCCAAGCCCCAGTTTACTCGTCGCTGTGGGCGCCCTCCTGCGTCCTCCAGAGCTGCTCCACCCCGTGCTGAAACAACATCAAGGCCAGCGCGTTGAGCCTCTCGCAGGAGTGTGGTGCCCCCCGTGTCCCAGCCGGCCGCTAAGTCATCGAAGTAGCACTGACATGGGCAACCCAGAGATGTGGGAAGCTGCTCTTTCTCAGGAGATGGCGGAGACATCGCCATTCCTTCCCCTGGAGGAGGGCCGGGCGGAGAATCTTCAGTTTTTGTTTGTTTCTGTTCTGCCGCTGGCTCAAGGGCCAGTGGTAGCCACATTTTCAAAGAAAGAACAATTTCCTTTTCCTCTGGGCTCTCAGGCCAGTGGGCTGACAGTGAGCGATGCACTGCTTCCTCACTCTCTCCCAAGATGCCCCCCTTTGCCAGCAGCCAAGAAGGTGCGGTTGGGAGACGCGTTGCCTCTCCACGCAGCTCTGGCCAGTCCCTCCGGGGACACGGGAAGTTCTGCTGTGATCAGTCAGAAAGCGATGTCTTCTGGCCTATCCAGCTCGATTCCCCTCCGCTGCACCACCGTGGGTGCATCAATTGTTCCTTTGGTGCCACTCGTACGCAGTTTGGGGATGTGGCTTGCGCTGCCCGACCCGTCCCGCTGGCTCATTCGCACAATCCGACTCGGCTGTGCGATTCAGTTCGCCAGGCGACCTCCCAAGTTCAGCGGCATTCTCGAGACTTCGATGGCAGACCAAGATGCACCTGTCTTGCACGAGAAAATTGCTGTTCTCCTGAAAAAGGATGCAATCGAGCCGGTCCCTCCAGCCGAGATGAAGCAGGGGTTTTTACAGCCCTCCGGGCAATCCTGGATCTGCGAGTCTCGAATCGGGCCCTTCTCAAGCTCCCATTCAAGATGTTGACTGTTGGTTTGCAGCGGTCGACCTGAAGGACGCTTACTTTCATGTCTCGATGTGCCCTCGACACAGGTCGTTCCTACGGTTTGTGCTCGAGGGTGAGGCATGGAAGTACAGGGTCCTCCCCTTCTGACTGTCCCTGTCCCCCAGCATCTTTACAAAGGTTGCGGAGGGCGCCTTTGCCCCGTTACGGGAAGTGGGCATCAGGATGCTGTACTGGACTGCCTGAGTTCCTTCAGAGGCTGGACGGTGGTACCACTGAAAAACTTTCAGAGGCTCCTGGGGCATATGGCATCCGCAGCCACAGTCACGCAGCTCAGATTACTCCATATGAGACCACTTCAGCACTGGCTGCTCTCCCGAGTCCCGAGGTGGGCATGACACCGCGGTACACATCGTGTCACCATCACACCGACGTGTCGCCGCCTATTCAGCCCCTGGTCGGACCTTGATTTTCTACGGGACAGGGTGCCCTTAGGACAAGTGTCCCCTCGTTGACATGGCGGATGCCTCCAGTACGGGCTGGGGTGCTACATGCAACGGGCTGGCAGCCTCGGGGCTCTGGACCGGGCCCTGACTGCTTTGGCACATCAATTGCCTAGAGCTGTTGGCAGTGCATCTGGCCTTGCGGTAGTTCTGGCCACTGCTGCAAGACAAGCACGTGTTGGTCCGCACGGACAACACTGCAGCGGTTTCGTACATCAACCTGAAGGGAGGTCTACGATCACTTCGCATGTCACAGCTCGCCCGCCATCTCCTCCTCAGGAGTCAGATGTGGCTCAAATCGCTGTGCGCCATCTACATTCCAGGGGAGCTCAATCGAGCAGCTGACGCACTCTCACAACAGCTCACGTTCCCTGGAGAATGGCAACTCCATCCCAAGACGATCCGGCTGATCTGGAGTCGATTCGGGGAAGCCCAGGTGGACCTGTTTGCTTCCCCCGAGTCCTCCCACTGCCAGCTGTACTACTTCCTGACCGAGGCCCCCCTCGGCACAGACGCCCTGGCACACAGCTGGCCTCGTGCTCTTTGCAAGTATGCGTTTCCCCCAATGAGCCTTCTCGCACAGACACTGTGCAAGGTCAGGGAGGACGAGGAGCAGGTCTTACTGGTTGCGCCTTTCTGGCCCACCAGGACCTGGTTTCCGGAACTCATGCTCAGCGCGACAGCCCCTCCCTGTCGCATCCCCCTGAGACAGGACCTGCTCTCTTAGGGGCTCGGCACCAATTGGCACCCGCGTCCAGACCTTTGGAACCTCCACGTGTGGCTCCTGGACGGGACGTGGCAGACCTAGCTGATCTGTTCCCTGCGGTGGTTAACACGATCACTCAGGCTAGAGCTCCCGCTATGAGGCAAGCCTATGCTCTGAACTGGTGTTCTTCTCGTCAAGAAGACCTTCGAAGATGCACGATTGGAGTAGTGCTTTCTTTCCTGCAAGAAAGGTTGGAGCGTAGGCTGTCACCCTCCACCTTGAAAGTGTATGTGGCTGCTATCGCAGCACATCATAATGCAATGGATGGCCAGTCCCTGGGAAAGCACAATCTCATTTGTCAGGTTCCTGAGGGGTGCCAGAAGGTTAAATCCTCCTAGGCCACTCCTGGTGCCCTCCTGGGACCTCTCTATCATCCTGGCAGGACTTCAAAGGGGTCCCTTTGAGCTGCTGGATTCAGTTGAGCTTAAGTTCCTGTCTGCTAAGATAGCGCTCCTGACCGCGCTCACTTCCATCAAGAGGGTCGGGGACCTCCAAGCATTTTCGGTGAGCGAAGAGTGTCTTGTGCTAGGGCCGGCCTACTCTCACATTGTCCTGAGACCCCGGCATGGATACGTGCCCAAGGTTCCCACCACTCCCTTTCGAGATCAGGTGGTGAACCTGCAAGCACTGCCCTCGGAGGAGGCAGATCCAGCCCTTGC